CGTTTTTCTCTGTCGTCGAAGCAGTTTGTCTCCGTTTATCCCAATCGAAAGGTTTGCATTCCAATATATCCTAATAGTTTTCTCTCTCAAATTTGTAAAATGTTGAAAATCTTTTTTTTTCACTGTTAAACCCTTTCAATGTTCATTTCATGTCCAAGTAGTCTCCAACGATTGTTTTCGATTTTTTATTCCGTGTGAACTATTGTATATATGAGGATATATATTATAGTGAGTTTGATTTCTTATACYGAGTTGAGTTTGGTATATTTTAAAAATATATAGAAATAGTTAAAATTATTTAGTTGTAACTATTAACTAGTTTGAATTAGAGTATTAACTAAATGAGATAGTTGTRAGTGATTTGAAGATAATTGTAGGATATCGAAGTTTATATGGAATTCAGTTTATATCCGGATATATCTTATAACTCAAAAAGTTTAGTCGGATATAATTTATAATGTTCCAGTAGTGAATTAAGGGGAAATCCGACAATGGAAAATTACAAAAGGAGAGAAAATGATTTGGATATATTTGTAATTAATAATATTGGTAAATCAAGAGAATAAATATGAATTAAGGGGTTAGTGTTGAAAATTTGTATGGGACCCACAATAATTAAAGGATTATGATAACAATTTATGGAATTAAATCTTTTATATTAAAAAAAAATAAATAACTACAATAAATKTAAATGCAGGGTAAAATCGATATTAAAATAAAATCCTGCAGAAATCTAAAAATCTAAAATTAGAAAACTTTAGGTATTTGTGTAAATAAGTTTCTAAAACATTATCTCTATAGTCAGRGATATACAAGGTATTAAATATTCATCTAATGTCAACTTGAACATAGCTTAATTAGTTTAGGCACTTGTCTCCCTTCAAAAAATTGTGAGTTCCAATTTTCACCTCATTTGTTATATTAAAAAAAGGGGTAATAAATATATAATTTTGGAAAGTATCTTGTATATTTTTAAAAACTTTATAAAAATATAAAATTTATAAAAAATATATATATTTAAATTAAGCATTTTRCATTTTAAATTTGTTGGAAAAATCACAACCCAACCCATTCTGAGGCTTCATCTAATCCGATTAGGTTTGTTGGGTTCATAGGATTGTCGAGTTTTTTCTGTACATTCTTAATACTACGTCCCAACCAAAATATCGCCATCCCTTAAAAAATCAAGCAAAAAAAATATTCGATATGAATTCACATTTCCTTTTGTTTGGGGAAGGGAATACTCTGGACACGTGGAAGACTCCTATTGGTGCTCCAAGATGACTCATGAATCATGCCCAGCTCGGAAGGCCGAGATGGCCGCCACCAACGCCGACAAATGCCAAGTGTGAGGGTCGAGGTGAGCCTGGCCCAGGTCCGACCCACCGGGGAGCTCGGTATGGGCCGAGATGCGCAACTGTCTGCGGCGTGATTATCGGGCGTAACCGTCGGTCCCGAGATTACCGAATGTAACCGTCGCTAGATTAGCGGGACCACCACCCATAAATAGGGGACCTCACTCCCCGATCAGGTACGATGATTTCTGGCTTCGAACTAGACTTGGAATCTGACCTATANAGATGACTCATGAATCATGCCCAGCTCGGAAGGCCGAGATGGCCGCCACCAACGCCGACAAATGCCAAGTGTGAAGGCCGAGGTGAGCCTGGCCCAGGTCCGACCCACCGGGGAGTTCGGTATGGGCCGAGATGCGCAGCTGTCTGCGGCGTGATTATCGGGCGTAACCGTCGGTCCCGAGATTACCGGATGTAACCGTCGGTCCCGAGATTACCGAATGTAACAGTCGCTAGATTAGCGAGACCACCACCCATAAGTAGGGGACCTCACTCCCCGATCAGGTACGATGATTTCTGGCTTCGAACTAGACTTGGAATCCGACCTATACTGACTTGATCGTCGGAGTGCTCACCTTTTTGTGCAGGTCCGCCCAAGTGGTCAGGTCGGTCCGGAGGCCGGGTTCGAGCTACAACCAGGAACACACTGTTGTGCACATCTTTGCATAAACACCTTTAGAGAAAAAAAAACACGACTTTGACAATTTATTCGTTGTTACTTTGCTTAAACATTCCTTCAGGTCAAAGTAAATTATTTGCTCTTACATGCTTTTCATTTCATAATTGCATGAATACCTTGAAAGTAACACAAAGAATACAMTTAAATAATATATCCCACGATCAGCTCCATCTCCATTTCAATATGTTGTTGAACTCGAAAATAAAACTTACGTAAACTCTTTTGGTTTTCTTTCATTTTCTAATAACGAAGGAGTGTGTCACAACTGTACGAATGACTCTTTGAAAGAGTTTATTAAAGACATACTTTTTCTACTCTAGTAAGTCAATTTACATCTTCCATTTTAATTTAACAAATTAAACATTGTAATTATTTTTCTCAAAATAAAATCAGATGGTTCATGAACCAGTAAATAAATCACAATTTCAACTGACAAAAACACTTGAAATGAAACCTAAAATTGTCCAAAACTCAACCGAAAAATATTTAAACCTAATCACAAAATCAAATAACTACAAAAAAGAAAATATCCATAGTTAACAAAATTTTCAAAAAATTAGAAGCTCAACTAACTAAATATATTAATATTTATTTAAGTTGGATATCATAATTTGAAGGTGAAGTTTGTCCCACTTAATTATAAACAYAGAAGTAAAAAATGAACTTTTATATTCTTTAATTTTTTTTAGCTAGATTCTTCCAAGTTGCAAATATCTAAACCGGTAGTGGATAGATAAATAACTACTTGARGAGAAATTCAATGGTCCTTTTTCTGAGAGGAGGATTGTTGGAGTGCAGTCACCTTCTCAAATCTTTTAGGTAAATTTAAAATGAACAAYGTTATACCATTCTAGAATTATAGAGACACCCGTTATCCAACCGTTATAAGATTTATTTGCTGTTCTCACCTCTCTATTTCTTGCATGGGCTGCCACRTCTCTTAATGCGTAGTTAAACCACCAAGGGAATTTTTGAAAATAAAGAAGAAAATTTCTTAGCCTTAAGTTGAGATATATATCATATATAGTTGAGGTAGCCTTGAATTTTTGGATGTAGATAGGAAACCTTGTGGTGCTCTTCTACCATAATTTTAATTCATTTTCTTTCTTAAAGCTTGGTACACCAACTTCACAATTCTCTCTCTCTCTTTGATGTTAAGGTGACAAATAGTATGTTGGATATTGACCTACTTTCAACTTCCCAATCCAACTACCAACTTCCTCATGTACACATGAGTGAAAAGACCCTTTTGCCCATTCCCCCCATTTTTCTAGTCCTCTCCCAATTGTTTTTCCACCCACAACACTATCAAGAGGGTCAAAGATATATCTCAATCAATTTTATTTTTCATCTTTATTTTTCATTACTTTATAGAAGATAAGGCRGGTCAAATTCCTCTCTTCTCAATAGAGCATCCTCGTGTAATTTGACATTAGTCAAAGAAAACTATCTTTTTCGTTTGGTAATGGCCTACCTAAGAGRGGGAAATTCTAATATAGAGAGGAAYTGTCACCAATCTGTACTGTACATAACTTAATTGATTAMATTATATATCATCGATCGAAAAATTAGAGGTTGGAATCCTCACTTCAACATATAAGTCAACGTCAAATCCAAAAAGGGTATTTCTGTAAATTCAGCATAGGGAGAAACTACAAGTCATCTCCTATGGGATGCATTATATAAACTAATAATCTGTCTCTCAAATGGTGTCGATTGATTTGTGTGATCATATTGATAAAGTTCAGCTCCCCACAGACAAAGCAAGAAGATGATGACCAGATTTTGCAGATTCCATGACTCTGTCAAGCCATTTTGGTTTAGTTTCTTCTTCTTCTTCTTCCTCCTGCTCGGCCATGGATTTCCAGTGGTAGTAGAATCTGCAGAAGGTGATACCCCAGTATCCGACCTTTTGAGTCGAGATGATTGGAGGCAGATGGCTGGATATGGTGAGGAGAGACTGTCCACAGTTCTGGTCACAGGCTCTGTTCTTTGTGAAGCTTGTTTGCATGGTGATGAACCTCAACTTCATTCATGGCCTATTTCAGGTACTATCATATATTGCAGCTTTTAAAAAGTACTTCTGAAATCACGCTTGTTTTCTTACCTTTTTCTGATGATTTTATTCAAACCAAATCAATCACTCTGCAGGTGCCATGGTGGGTGTGAGCTGCCACAACAACGGAAGAAATAGCAAATCTTCTGATTGGGCACATGGAGTCACTGATGAATTTGGAGACTTCATTATTGATATTCCATCCCATCTTCATGCAACACGCAGCTTTGAAAAGGTTTGTTCAATCAAGATTCTTCAGACTCCGAAGAACGCACGCTGCCGACCTGCTCATTTCGCTGGTCGGGAGCAGCTGCAATTGTCATCGTTTGGAGGTGGCATCCGTACATATACTTCTGGCGCTCTCAAGCTGCAGCACCGGACATCTCGACCCCTGCAAGGTTGTATAAACAAGGGAAGTGGTGACAAACAGACCTTATGGTAGACAGAAACCTAGTCAAGTGAATGAATTTGGTGCAGACCATACATGGCTCATGTAGATGGCGCTGAAGTCACAACAATGAGTTATTGGCTCGTAGCCAGATCGATAAATCGAGCTTGCATAAATATGTATTGTTTATGTGTATTAACACCTCTAGATAATGTAATACAAAAATTTATATCATACCATACACGATGGATGCTTTGACTGCATTGTGTCATATTCCACAGTTGAATGTAGTCACAAGGTTGCAATTGTATTCATCAAAAAAACAGTTAGGAGCCAAAGAGATCATATGTTCTTTAACTATCATTGCATAGCATGACAGATAATCTAATCCCAACACAAAAAGATTAGGCAATATGACAACCAAAAAGACATTAGCTAATGGGCGTTACACGATGATAAATGACGAGAAACTGCTTATTGGTTCTCCTCTCTCTCTTCCTCAACTTTAGAAGTTATGTATCGTGCTACATCGGCACAGCAGGTGAGCTTATCTGCCTTTTCATCTGGGATTTCGATGGAGAATTCTTGTTCGAAAGCCATAACAAGCTCCACCCTGTCCAAGCTGTCCAGGCTCAAATCCTTCTGAAAATCAGCCGTTTCAGTAACCTGCTCGGCTCAACACAACATTCAACAGTAAGAACTATTTTCTATTAAGAGGACAAATATACACTTTTGCATTTAACAGGATAGGATAAATATGAGAATCTACAAAAATCCCGAAAAGTGATATAAAAGTTCAAAGATAAGTTGTAGGATGGCCTTGGACTAAGTACCTTTGAGGCATCAATTCTATCGAACTTCTTAACCAATCCAATCACTCGGTCTACTATTTGATCAGAGCTTGTACCTTTTGACGTGCACAAATGGYGAGTCAGCTTCTCCATTACAGTCTCATCCTTCATAAACAACCATGTCGTAGTATTAGGTATTCTGATCCTCATGTGCTTCAGGATTGAATTACTGATGCTTTGCATTTTTTGTCTATAGGAGCTCAAATGAACAAGTTCCAATTCCAATCATCAGTTCAGGTAACAAAGAATTGAAAAGTTTTGAAAATAATAGACAGGCATGCAGACAAAATGAGTTTGTGGAGGGACTTATTATCAAGATCCTAACTTTTTTTTTTTTGAAATCCGTGTGTCCGGGCCAGCTTGCACGCACCTTGACTAATCACAAGCTAACCGCCTGACCAAACATGCAACTTCAAGAAATTACTGAAACACATTACAATACCAGAGCCCTTGAAAGGAAATACATACATTCCTATTGAAAATAATGTGTAGTAACTTCCACGGGGATAATTACATACAATAGGAAGAATGAAAGTTGTTTTGTCGTACCAAAAATCTAATCATGATAACTTTTCAAATATTAACCAATCGCATTATCAGCAAGTTTCAAGGAAGATCGAGATAAAATTATGTGCTCAACGAGGAGGGAAATGAATTTCATTAGAAAAATGCTATACAATCAAATCTATGTTTGCGCCAGAAAGCTAAAAGATAYCAAGCTCTATAAACAGCTGGCCACAAATTTGTTAGTAAAATCAAGAAATTTAAGGTCATATACAACTAGAATGCATGACAATTTGAATTGATCGAAAAGGAACGACTTCCCATTCATAACAAGATAGGTACAGAGACTGAAGTCATCAACCAAAATGGAAAAAATTTAAATAAGGAAATTAAAACAGTAGGTAAATGGGTAAGAGAAAAGTTCGTAGGAGGCTATGTAAAATGAATTGCCAGGACGTCCTACACTAGGCATTGCATTGTAGGCTAAATAGCATTTAAAAGAATGATAATGTTCTCAATAAGAAACAAGAATATATTTTACTATAAAATAAAGATTAATGTACAAAGTTGAAAGGGACAGGGCATCCTCCAGGAGAGACAAATTACTTCGGAAGTCTATAACATATTGAACAAAATGGAAAAAGAGATGAAATAAAGCGGCAACTTGTTTGTGCTACCACATAAGCAAAAATTAATATAAAAATTTGATTTTAAAAACTACGTATTCATTGCCATAAAATCACTTACCCCCGTCAACTTTTTGACTATAGCACTAACAAAGTGATGATTCCAAGGATCATCTAAAAGAAACTATTTAGAACTCAGCTTTCCAAAGTATTTAAGAAAATTTTTGTTTCATTTGGATTTTCTTCAAAACACTTGTTATAAAACATTGTATTATCAGAAATATGTAAGTAGTTCTTTTAACTTCTTGTTGTGTATTTTTTTTTTTTTATCTTTATCTCATATATTAAATTAAAAATGTAAAAATTCAAATCGGTAAAAGACACCTAAACTGTGTTCATGTCCTAATTCTTTTCTACGGTTATTTTGTCCATCTTATATCATGTTCATTTCCACTGTTATGAGTCCATGTTCGTTAGCCCCCAGCTGTCCCTAGCTGCTAATTAACTACAATAGCTAGCATTTATCAGCAATCTTAAATCTCAAATATGTGCACAGATGTGTTCCTAATCTTGTTCAAGCAGAACCAACAGAAGGGTTTATTTTCCAGCCGCATTTGGTTCTTTTTCTTGGTCATCAAATCTATACCAAGGTTCCTTAGTGGAACCCTTGAATGCTATACATAAACAAGGAGTTCCATAGTTACTTTAAGGCACTTTCTTTGGTTTTTTAGTGCTATCTCCAGGCATTGATTAATTTATTGGCTGGCAAGAAGAAACAGGTTAAGAACCAACCAGAGATAGGCTTCAGCAATTCGAGTGCATTAGGAATGCTTTAATGTTTTTTCCAGAGGAGGATTCTTTTGGATTTGAGGCCTTTTCTCTAGGGGTGTTCTTTTGTCTAGCTATTTTTTTTGTATGTCCTTGCATATTTTTTCATTTCTCTCAAATGAAAGCTCGGTTTCTTATCTAAAAGAATTTGTTTGCAACGTTTTGTTCGTAGAACAATTAGTCGACCATTTTCTTTTCTTTTGATATCCTGGTATCTAGCAGTACTGCACTGGACTGGAGAGACTTTGCAATATCCTAGATAATAGTTTTCTCTCATTAAGACACTATTTGGTAACAATTTTGTTATTTATTTTCTGCTTTTAAAAATTAAGCTTATGAACACTACTTTTACCCATGTTTTTTTTTATCTACTTTTCTAAAATGTTTTCAAAATTTAAGCCAACTTTTGAAATTTAAAAAAAAAAATAAAAATTTAACTTGTTTTCACTCTTGAAATTTCTAATAGTTCAAATGTGTTGAAGTGATAAACATACGAAACATTCAAGTGATAAACATGCGAAAGAAATTGTGAAGAATCTGAGTATAATTTCTAAAACGAAATTGTTATGAAACTCAACATTTCACTTAAGAGGCCCAAAGACTATGAACCCAAGACCTCGGGCTTAACTCCAATCCAAAACTCCCTCCCTTATCACCATTACCACCAAGGCCGCCCCATGGGAGCGTTCATAGAAGAACCATATGTAACTTTCAATCACTTGACCCATTGATTATAACCTTTTCTAGAAGTTTCAGAACCAAACTCTATGGCCAAGGCTCAGTTACTGTACACTGCGCGCTGCTAGAAAGGAACAGAGAAACCACGGATGGAATCAATGAAAACATAAAACAGAACAAGCAGTAGGACGAAATCGGCAACCTAAAAAGCCAAACACATTCTCCAAATAAACAAAGCATCTAATCTAACACCCAGATTCCTTCAACAAATCTCGCCCATCATTCACACAAACCAACCAACCAGTTTTAACGTGGGAAAAATTGGCATAGTAGCAAACTAGAAGACGACGCAGCTGTACAATCGCCATCCAAGAAGCAAGAAAGAGGGAAATTGGCGTAAAAGTAAGGCATGAAAAGACAAAAAGGCGGAAAGCGGAAAGATATTTACTCACGAGAGTAGCAGAGAGTGTAAGATGGTGGAAGAATTCTGAGTGAATTGCCGGAAAAAGCACCTGGAAACTTTGAGACCGGAGCTTGGACTGCGATTCTTATACCGTCGTCATCTCAATTCAAGAACTCGATGAGCAGATTCGAACTTTTTGGAGCTCGCAGAAGACTCGAATCTGAGGCCGGCTCAAGAATTCATCAATGGCCCAATAGTAACAAAGATAGGTTTTCTTTTTTCTTTTATTTATTCATTTTCCTTTTGGTTTGGTTTATTTTGATTGATATATTTTCCAAACATTAATTTTGGTCRGTGTATTTTTGTCCTTTGATTTTTATTTTTATCTATTTTTTATCGTAATTTTAACATAATACTTCACTCACTAAATTTCTTAAAATATAGTCATGAGTTTGTCTCGAATTGTTTTATTTTGTATAATTTGCATTAAAATTTTACAAATAAATATCAAATTGTTCACTTTTAGAAATATAGAGACCAAAATAGACGTTTAAGAGTATAAGGCTCCGTAAGTTGATCGAACTAATAGGTGCTAGGTGAGGGCTTAAAGATCCTAATTTACATAACCTTCTTGGACACATATTTTTCCTCGGGGCGGGTAGATTTTCCTATAAAAAAAGGCATGGTTCTGTAGTCTAAGCAACTTCGTCACTTTCGTGTACCCATCGGATGGCAGCCCTTTTGGAAAATGAACAAAGATTGAAAGTATGGAAACTAATATGARCAAAGATTTAAACCTTATCATGACCATTTTAGTCGGAAATAGGCACCTTAACAAATTAAGTTATATTCAAGTTGGCATTCTAAAAATTTTAAAACAACCCTTCTATTAAATTTTCTATTAAGTAAAAATAGAAACATGATGTCACGATGAGTCATAAAATTTTTTTAGTTTAAACTTTCAATTTCATCCAATGAAAGCTTATATTTAGATAAGAGTTAGAAAAAATGATTATCCCCAAATCTCATTAATTTCCATGAAAATCAAGGTTTAACGAGAGRGTGTAATGTCCAAAATCTCAATTCTATAAATCAATCACAATATCAAAGATTAAAGATTAAAAGGCTCCGTTGTATAATCATCTATTTTGATTTTGAAAATTAAGCTTATAAATACTATTCTCATTCATGTATTTATTTGTTTTACTATGTGTTCAAAATCTAACTAAAATATTGAAGACTAAAAAAAATAATTTTCAAAAATTAGTTTTTAAAATTTAGAATTTGACTAAGAATACAAATACCTTTTTAAGATAGGTAAAAAAACATAAAATTAATCAAAACTCACCAATGTCAACAAATATATTTCTTTTTCTTTAAAGACTTCATTGTTTTCGTAACATGCCTCTATTTATAATCTATTTTAGCACATCTAAAATTAGTTTTTCACCATTCTTCCAATAGAAGTCTATAGAAGATACAAATTGTTGTTTACTTAAGTCTAAGATTTATTATTTATTATTTATTATTTATTTTTTTATTTTTTTATTTTTTTTTTGTTTTGCAAAAGGTAAGTCTAAGATTTAACTAGACGGGATTGAAAAGTATGGTATATTTTTACTTAAAGTTCATATTAAAAATAACAATAAAAATCTATAGTACTAGAAAAAAAAACAATAAAAATCTATAAAAGTATAGATAAGAAAAAGTAAATTCTTGTCAACCTATTGATTTATAAATTATAAGGAGTACCAATATTCTCTTAGATTATCTTGGGATTAAATTGTCATTTGCTTTTACTTTTAAAAATAAGGGTAAGGATAAGGATTCAAAGCTACAACACCGAAAGATGTTTTCAATACTTCAATCATTGAATTATGTTCATGGTTAAAAAAAAAAAAAAAGAATCGATACATGAGTTTATTGTTATGTCGTTTAGATTAATTCAAACCCACGATCTTATAACTGAGAATATATGTCTTAATTAATTCAGTTATGCTCCTGTTCAACTTGACTTTAGACTAATAAATGTTGAGATAATACTTGCAGGTTGATGAAATTGTCTTTAAATTAGTTATGTATTCAGTTTATACTATCTGGGTGAAACCAACATGAACATATCTCAATTTGTTAAGACACCTATCTTCGATTAAAAGATTGTGAGTTTGAATTTTACTCCCGCGTGTTGTACTGGTGTTGAAAATGAGTTTTTTTATGGATTAGGAAAAAAATTATTGAGAGTTTAGATTTAAAATTCATTCTATTTTGCCTTCTTTAAATATCTCAAATAAAAAAATATTTATAAAGTTATAATATATAATTTTATAAAAGTACCAAAATCAAAAGTTACTGAATATATATATATATATATATATATATATATATAATCCCAGAGGTGGAAACAAGGGGTTGCAGTGGCCCACAGATTTGTTGGACAATACAATAATCATTTTGAACTATTGCCCAAAAAAATAATAATAAAATTATATTTTCTTCATTTTTAAAAAATTAAAATTTAGTAAGAAAATGTTTCATAACTACTTTCAAATGTTATTATTAATTATTTATTTAGTTTAAGTCTTATGATTTTAGCTTTAATCTAGTTTAGTTTTTATATTTTTAAAACGTTTATTTTGATCATTATATTTTAAACCTTTGTCTATTTCAATCATTATACATTTTTTTTAATTATTTCCATATATTTTTAGAATATAAATTGTGAAACTCGGACTTTAAAAAGTGATGGTTTGGGTCATTATTTGCAAAATCTCACCACATAACAAATCTATAGATAATGAAAAATCTCAAATATAGACCTAGGAAAGTATTTTAATTTTTTTTATTAATTGTAGTGCAGTATTAATATTATTATTAAAAATGAGATAAAATATAAAATAAACAGATCAAATAATTGTTTTTTAAAATATAATTTAAAACTAATTATTTCGAGGCATGAAATTTTCTAGAACAAGTGAAGTATAATGTCTGGAAACAAATATTGAGTGAATTTTAAATTAAAAAAAATAGTTTTCAAATTAAAAAAAATTATATGTAAAATATTGATCGAATATATGATCTTTTAATGAATAATGGTAAAATCGTTGAGAACTCATTTTCTTGTTTGGTGCATGATTACTTTTTATGAAAATAATAATTCCAAAGTCTCTCTCTTGTTTTTTTTTTTCTCTTTTCTCTCTTTTTTTTTTAATTTAATAGGTGCATTTTAGTTTACTATAATTTAATAGTCCTTTTTTAAGTTTTTTATTGGTACATAAAGATAATTATTATTATTTTAAAAGTTGATAGTTCGATTTCCCCTCTATTAATCGTTGAATTAAAAAAAAAATCTAATGATATTCAATTGAGTGTTAGACATTTAAGACTTTTAATCTTTTGTCTTCTTGATAGGTTCGCTGTGGCTTATAAAGTTAAATCTATATTTTAGTCTATAATCTTGGATCATATTTATGTTTAAGAATTTTCAATTGGGTATTTGTATTTTAACTATTTTTAATTATATATTATTCGTGAGTGGATATTAAACGTGGTTGGTAATAAATTTACCAGGCACCCTATTAAGTAAGTTGAAGAAATGGTAAGAGAAATTAAAATCACTAGTAAAAGTAAGAATTTATGCCAATTTTTTTTAGAAGTTTGGATAAATTAAAATACTTTTTGGTGACTTAATTTCTCTCTAAAATTTTAAGCTTGTAAGCATTATTGGAAGAAACTAATTAAATGTTTAGTCACAAAAGTACCTTAATTACTTCTATTTGATTTTAAAATTTATTAAGATTGATTATAGAAAATTTTTAGAGCTCAATCGTTCATTTTCATTTGCAAAAAACACTCTTTAATATTTTAACCAAATATTAAAATTATAAAAAGGGTATAATTTTAGAAAGAGTTAAAACATAAATACTAAATTAAAACTTTTCGAGTAATAATACAAACTAAATTAAAAAAAAAAAAAACCAAACATATAATCTTTCTCAAATGTTTATTTTAATACTCATAAAAGATCTAGTAGTACAATAATTTTTTAATTAGTCCCAATTTCAATGATGATCTTGCTTCAAGTAGAGAGAGAGAGAGAGAAATGCAAGAAAACAAAATCAAATTTCACTGCTTTTCCCATAAATTTTCACTTTTGTACTCGTGTGGGGTGAACCCTGAACTGAATTCATAAAATTACAAGCATCTGACCACAAAAACACACTCAGTAATGGAGTTGGTGTAGAGGCCCCATCACTGGCCTCCACCGTCCATTGAAATCAAATCAATGGAAGCAAGGCAGAAATAGAGAGAGAGAGAGAGAGAAGGGGAGAGGCGACGTTCATCTCCATGGCTACTGTTGTAAGTAAGAAAATATGTTTCCAAACTATTGAAATCCCTTTGTAAATGATGACGTGAGGACCTTTGGGCCACCTCTGGATCTTCCCAAGTCGTCGGGTTATTTTAGCACTTTTCGAGCTCTGATTCTTTTAGCACTTCGTTAAAGAAGAAAAAGGGATTTATGCAATTTTCCTCCAACAATGGTGTTCTGTTGAGCTATTTTTCTTTACTGGGTTTCTCTTTGATCTTGCTCTGATTTGATTTTGAGATTCTGCAATTGGGTTTTCGTTTTTGTGCCCTTTTCTTCTGGTGAAGGGTTTTGGGTTACGTTTTATATTGATAAATAAATGGGAAACGTGAATGGGAGAGAGTATGAAGACGATACCCCATCTGGGTCTGAAGAAGAAGAAGAAGTAGAAGGAGAAGTAGGAGAAGATGGTGTAATTGTTCATGAGGGCGTTGCTGTGGCTGATGGGGCTCATATTGGCTACCACCCGCAAGGTGTTTGTTCAAAGTTAGTGAGCGGCCAGTCCCCTCCTCATAGCCCCGCGGCCACCCGCTCGCCATTGATATTCACTCCTCAAGTAAGCTCTCGCTCTCTCTCTCTCTCTCTCTTGAGGAGTTCCTTTTAGTTTCTTTGTAGCCAATTGCCAGTGAATGAATTTTGAACTAATATATCACTTCGAGTCTTCAATTTTGAATTAGCATTTGGAGATTGAAATGACTTGTTTTAGATGTTTCTTGTGTAGCAATGGATGAATGTTGGTTTCTGAACTTCAAGTTTGATTATAGAGATTTAGTGAGAGAAGTTTTTGATTTAACCTTTTCTTTATTGGGGGCTAATTGAAGGACTTTACCCATTTTTTCTACATCCAGAAGTTTGTGGTTTAAGGCAGTTGATTTTGCTTTAACTTTATATAATGGTTGTTTCTTGCTGCTGGCTCAGCTGACAAGTATTTGCTCACTTCCAAGAGATAATGTAACTTAGCATTTGTCAAACTTTAAGGCCTTATTCTCTAACCATTTTGTTTTTGGTTTCCGTTTTTGATTGAAATGGTCCCCTGTTGTGGTTTCTTTTTTGGTTGGTTGGTTGTTGATTGTGAGGGGTGGGGATCCAAGGATGGGTTGTTGTTTACTATCATTTTGTATTAATTATTTGCTAGCATGCTTCTTTTACATTTTAAACTCCAGGTTCCACTCACTCCTCTACGGAAACCGGATGAAATGCTCATTCCCAGCGACTACCGAATGCCAAATTCGTTTGGTTATGAAGGAACGTGCAATGAACCAAGCGTTCCAACCATGATTACATGGAGTTATGGTGGCAAAGAAGTTGCTGTTGAGGGATCATGGGATCTTTGGAAAACAAGGTTTTCTTCTCTTCTCTTTCTGTACCATCTCGAACAATCGATTATCATTTCTGATCTGCTGCCAGAATATCTGATACTAGTTGTACCTCATTAACCAGAATGCCCTTGCAGAGATCGGGGAAAGACTTCACTATAATGAAAGTGCTTCCTGCTGGGGTTTATCAATATAGGTTTCTAATAGATGGACAATGGAGGTATGCTCCGGAGTTGCCTTGGGCCCAAGACAACGCTGGCAATGCTTACAATGTTTTGGATTTGCAGGTAATTTGTAATGTAGGATATGAAAGGAAAGGCATGAAGTTAATCGACTTGGAGAGAAACTGGTGTTGTCGTGAACAACCATCGAATACCCCTATAGGCCGATTTAATATTTTTAATCTATGGTGGCCAGAAACTTGGTTGGTTTAACTAACAATAAAAGGGTCCATCTACATAGACAATCTATCTTTGTATATCATCTGCTCTTTCTTCTTATTTTCCACTTGTTCTTCATTCTTACTGTTACTATCCTCACCACTTGTCTCTGTGCCATTTGTGTTATTTGCTCTTCATAGTATGCTTGATCAAAGCCTACCTCTTTTTATTGTGAAACAGTTGTTTCGATCTGATCCGATCCGAACCCTTATTCCAGAATATAAGCTCAAGTATAAGGTTCATAAGTTCTTTCTTTTTTCTTCTTTCATAAACGACGGATTAAGGGAGTAGAGGGGCTAGTCCTGTCTAGGGGTGGAGGGAAGAAGGGAGGAGGGACACTCTCGGTTCGCCTTAGATTAAGAAATTATACAAAAGTTGTGATTATAAAGTTTTTGGAATTAGAAGATTATATCTACAAAAAGTTAAAATATACAACTTTTTCTCTTCCAAATTTTCGGCCTCCGCCCAGCCCATGGTCCTGTCCTATCACTTTATGGTTGAAAAGATACTTTAGCTTGTAGAAAATGGCTTGTTGCCACAGTCTTTGCCTCTTCTAGTTTACATATCTCCAAATTTCAACAACTCCACATTGACTTTTGTATGGTCTTCTCTTTTCTAAATCTCCATTTTTCATACAATGCTTGTTGGATTTCTCATTGCTTCTATACAATGATTATCATCAAACATTTCCATTGTCAATTCAACGCTCGGATATTCACGGTTACGTTTTACTTCAAATCGGTTTTAATGGGTATTGGCACCTGGGATCTGATGTCATTCATTCATCAACTATGCAGGATAACGTGCCTGAAGATATTGAAAGCATCTCTAGCTTCGAGCCTCCTCAGTCACCGGACTCGAGCTACAACAATGTGCTGCTTGGATCCGATGACTACGCGAAAGAACCGCCTTTGGTTCCCCCACACCTACAGAGGACTCTGCTTAATTCGCCTTCATCGTACATGGAGATTCCACACGATTTGTCGAGGCCACAACATGTCATATTGAATCATCTTTACATGCAGAGAGGGAAGAGTGGCCCGTCAATTGTGGCACTTGGTACTACGCATCGGTTTCTAGCCAAGTATGTTACCGTCGTGCTCTACAAGTCTTTTCAGAGGTAAATTTTTTACCTTTCTTATGAACCCTGCAACTTTCTAGGCTTTATAGATCAGGTTAGCTGAGGAAGATGTATATTGTATGGTAAACCAAGTTTGTGCTTCAAACCACTGAAACTCACCCTGCCACCTTGGTTAGATTTGCTCTCCCTTAGTTGACTCACATTTTGGAGATATTTGGTTCACGGTTTTAACCGGTTTGAGTTTTTTAAGCCCGAGATTCGGAAGCTTCGGTTGTCTTGTGCTTATGTAACTCGAGATTTATGTAGCTCATGAGATTAGTAAATCTATGGATCCTCGTAATAAACATGGTCTTTGATTTCTTAAATTACACAAATCTAATTTGTCAACTAATCATACCCCTTAAATAAAATCCTCCTCTAGACGCATTTAGTAATCCTTCTTCCATAGGATAAAGTTTCAAATACCATGGCCAAAGTGAACATAGTTCAGCGGTAATTGGATATATCTCTAATCCAGAGGTTCTGAGTTCGAATCTCTCCCCAACATGTTGTAGTCGAAGTACTGAAAAATTTTCTTTTTCTTCTCTTGGATTTTCTTTCTTTTTATAAGATTTAGAAAAAATCTTTTATCATGGTTTTGAAACTTAAGAAAATTTTACGGCGGTATATGTGTTATCCATTGCTCTATCTTAGATTGTGATTTGTTATTTAAATCAAAGTTTAATTCACTTTTGAGAATGAGAAATAAAAATTGTCGGATTTGAACCCATGCCCATTCGGACCAATACCTGAAACTGGCGCCTTAGACCAAGGCAGCCATCTTGACATCTATGCCGATCATAAATGAGATTTTTCAAATATTCAATATTATTTCTAAGAGTGAAAGTTAAATTGTAACATTTTTTTAATACAACAATTATGAAGATTGGAGATCGAACCTCTCACCTCAAGAAAAGGAGTTAGATATCTTAATCACTAAACTAAGTTTATCTAACTCACTAAACTAAGTTCAAACACAGTAAGCAAATAAAATTCCTCGAAACTAAAAATGAAATATTTATAAATGATGATGTGATGAAACTTCGTTCTTTTTCTTGAGTTTAATGGGGGAACTTCTAAATTATAGAAATTCAATTGAAATAAAACATATGAAATTTTATTTTTATGAATTTTCTTTAGTACGCTTGGAGTTGGAGGGAAAAAGAAGAAAAAACTTTTGCTTCTTATTTTCTGCTTTGCTCCCTCCACTTCACTTGCATACTCAAAGTAAAAAAGCTGTAGCATAACTTGTATTCAACATGATGCCATCATATAAGGGCTTACCCAAATCACTTGAACCTCTCATTACAATTAACTAGCATTTACAGCCAACCAAGAATCTGAACTAACTCAGTTGTTTAGCTCTGTAACATCGTCACATTCGACATCAGTTTTGCCCTCGTCGTTGCCTCCACCCTTTTCTTGCATATCCAAGATCAGAATACTGGACATCCTTTAACGACGATCCCGGGAGCGGTTGGACACTTTGCCAGAGGGCAGTGATCTGGTTGCGACCCCCACCACCTCAGGTTATGGCCCTCATTCTGCAGCGCAAAGAAGAGCAGCACACCCATGAAAGCTGTCCCAGCATCGAGTGCGGCCGAGAGGACGTAGTTGTACTTCTGCCACCAACGCTTGTGGTATCGGAAGACGAAGTAGTTGAAAATCGTTCCAGTGATGAGCCAGCTCGCTATGTTTGTAGGAGTTGCTGGTGGCATCCCTGCAAAGCCATAGGATATAACGGGGATGTTTATCAGCGGAATCCATTTCTTTTCAGGGAACGCTTTGCTCAACGCCCAAATGGGGACTGGGAGGACAGCTCCGATGAGGAATAGCCACACCAAGTTGCGATACAGCCCCCCTGGTCCAAACAACCGCCTCGGTCCGATCAGTCCCCAGATGACAGAAGCATCAAATGTGACTCGGTATTTTGGACAGGTCCACGGGCTATCAGGGTGGAGAGCATCAACATCACAGATGTTCTCTATACTGTCTAACATCCACCAAGCGACCGCTAGGTTTACCGTCCCGGCAACCAGAGTCCCGACTAACTGAGGAAACAGAAAACAGAAACAACCAATCAAACTTATGCTCATAGATTCTCAAAAAGAGAAAAATAATGAAAATTGAAGTTGGGAAACAAAGATCACCTGGGCAGTGTACATGCATCTTGGTGGGATTTTCATATAATGGCCAAGTTTAAGATCAGATAAGAAAGACAGAGCATGAACTGTACTAATCCTCCCATAGATCTTGAAGAGCAAATTTGCAATTGGCTTTCCAGGAAGAATATAACCAATAATGAACTGTGCTATAATATCATATCCAGGTTGCTGCATAAGATTCCATATGCATATTAGTATTTCGTTTCAGAATATGCTCAAGAGAAGCTAAACCAAGAGAGACGAGCACTAAGACTACTACTAATTCCCATTCGATTACCTGGTTGGTTGTTGCTTGAATTACCCCAATTGGGAGGGTAACAATCCAAGCCATAGCAAAGGCAAATAGCATCCCCCACCACGGGAGTTGCACGTCGTCTTTCCACACGAATGACATCAGAAGTGACAGCGCAATGCTACCAAACAATAAGATCAGGAACCACCATTCTGGCACTTGTTTGTAGCTTTGCATCAGCTTGGCATGAATGTCCAGTTTCGCACTCTTGATTGCTGCCCTGCTTTGCTTCCATATCTCCCTAAAAGAATTAAAAGAGCACAATCATCACTTTAGGAACTCAACCTTGATCATGGAAAAAAAAAAAAAACCCCCAAATTTTAGTTTGTCTGATGAAGTGAAAAGTCTTCTGACTATCATCTAAAGCTAGAAAGATTCTTAAATTGTTCATCTTTTGCTGTTAGAAAGTGAAGCAAAGTTATCATATAATTCTTCTACATCAGACATGAGGAATTTAGGATAACAAATATTTAATAAGAATTCAAGAAAGATTGCAACTCAAAAGGAACATAAAAGTTATAGAACCATGTAACATAGGCCAAATCTATCCTCAATCGAAAATTTGAATTCTCACCCCACATGTTTTGTACTTTGAACTCGAAAAAAACATGTAACATGGGTTGATTCCCCTAGATGAAGTATTATTTTATTTTCTGTCCCATCCCAAAATAAAAAAAATAAAAAAAATCATTTCTAGTTTGAAAAGGAATGATATTCTTCTCATCCAAGATTAGAGAATGACATTCCTATTCCCCTCTATCAGGACCCACCTTTCTTTTTTTTGCACTTTTTTTCTCTCCTCTCTCTCTCTCTCTCTCATATTCATTCTCCCTTTCCACACTTCCCCCATCCCATTTGTCTCTGCTTTGCACTCAGACAATCATGAAATAAAATACATTTAAATACTATCTTTGGTCTCTGTAATCTACTTTTTTATTTTGCTACTTTCAAACCCTACTTTTTTTTTTTTTTGGTTTATTATAGTTCTTTTACTTTCAAAATATCTCTTTTGGTCCTTGAACTTTCAAAAAAAATCTAGTGAGTTGTTAAAACTATGATATAAAAAATGAGATAAAAATGGAAATGAAAGGCCAAAACTATCGAAAATATACAAGGACATAGATTTAGTTCCTAAACTTTTCGGTCCTATCTATTTAATCCCTAAATTCTAAAAAGTTTCAACTGCATCAAACTTCAAATTGTGATTCTCTAGCCAGGAGTGAGTTTGGGATGTGTTTTTCAAAAGTGTTTTTAAGTGAAACACTATTTTATTTGGGAAGTGTTCTTAAGTGAAACAACCGAACCTAAAGCAACAAAGTATGGCAGATTCAAATAAAAAATACAGAGAACAACAAGAAAAGAGAGCATACCGGCCATGGAAGAGGGCGACATGGGTGAGAGTAGCAGTAAACCTAGCAAAACCAGATCCAATGGAGAGGGCAAAAAGAGGGCTAAGATACAGCTTCCCATAGCTATCATAAGCAGCAACATTCAGATCAAACTCCGGCGTCAGAATCTTGGTGGTATCGTACTTCTGGCCGGTTCTGGTGAAGAGCTGATTGGAGAAGATGGGGAATTTGCGAGCGTCGAAGGTGTTGAACTTCCAGTAACAAACAGGGACGATTATATAAATGAACATCACAAACCCAGCTCCCACATTGAGGATCGAGAACCAAGGGGACACGAGTGGGCTTCCATGGTAAGCCGAGATGCCAGCCCAATCGAAGGTGAAGGCACCGAGCCCGAGCCCACTTTGGCTCGACCCGATTTGCTGGGCCGTGATGCTGTGAGGCCAAACCCAACACACCCACGAGAAGAACGACAGGATTTGGAACAAGTAACCTGGAAAAGCGTAGTAGATGAAGCTCGCTCCCATGGCGATTAGGAAGAATTTCATCCTCGTCATCCCTTTTGATTTGTTCTCTCGCTCATGGAGAGCTCTGAAACAGGGGCAAAAACAGAGCAAAAAATGAATTGGAATGAACAAACACTGAATTTGATGAAATTAGACAGACCCATTTTCATCTTTTGCTTAGATTAGAATCAAACAATCAAATGGGTCCATTTATGGAGATATAAAGCTGCTAAATCTGTAAAATGATGAAGCTTTTGAAGGCGAATACCTAAACAGAGAAACCTGGGCCAGATTTGCAGGCCACCACATTTCAACAGGATCCACCAAGTACCTTCTGAGCATCCCCGCCCATCCATAGCCCAAAACCTACACCGATTCAAACATAAAATTTGAACCAAACAGGAGAATATAAGAAAAGGGTGTAGATCTTATCCATCTGGGTCTTATTAGACAGACTCAAAAGAGAGTAACTTTTGGACTTTCAGTGATTGTTTAATCAAATTAGTCCTCTTTTTGCTGACCCCTTTTGGGAAAAAAGATGGAATAATCAAGAAAACGACTGTAAAATCAACAAATTGGGGGAAAAGGGCGAAAAGCGGAGGGGGTTGGAACCTGGGTAGTCAAAACGATGAGAAGGGCCAAGAGGAAACTAATGCTCTGTTTGTAATAAGCCTTCATGACAGTAATGGCGCCGATGGAGTAGGCGTCGCCGCCGCCGTAGGAGATGCCGCAGTTAGCAAAAATGGTGATGATTACATGCTCCTTCATGTTGAAAGGGCCGGGGTTCAAACTGAACTTCCATCGGAACAAATGGAAGTCCCGTTTTGGGAGAGTGGAGGCCATGAAGCGCCCAATTGGGAGGACGGCGATCTGCATAAGAATGGCGGAGATGGCGAGCGGCTGAGAGCGGTAAGTGAAGAAAGTGTTGAGGAAAATGAGGAGGCAACAGCAGGCCAGACCCAGAACCCATGACCGGAAAGTCATCACCGGGAGAGACGGGTCGTCGGTCTCCGGCACGACCAGAGCCACCTCCTCCACCGGGCACCGGTCCTCCTCCGCCGCCAGATCTCCATTGGGCTTGTCGGCGCCGGATTCCGGGGGCGGCGGGTTCTTCGAGGACATTGGAATTAGGTTGTTGATGAGGAGACAGAGGAGGTTCTGTTTCGTCGCTGTGATTTGGAGTTGGAATCAGGAGATTTTGGGAACTGGGAATTGGGATTTTTCTTTACTTATCAGTGATGGGAGTGGAAGAAGAAGAAGGAGAAGGATGCTTGCAAGAACAAGTAGTAAGCAAGTCAAGAGCTTTGATTGAGAAATGTCAGTGAAGAGATGTTGAGTATTTATAAGGGAATTTTGGATTTTTCCCAACCCCTCAAAATTATTTATCAATTATCTCTCTCATATGGAACTTAAATTATTGCTGTATTCCCCCTTTTTTCTTTTAATTACAAGTTTTAATTTTAAACAAAATTTAAAATATAATTCAATTAATTAAGATATTTATCTTCGACCACGAAGTCTAAAAAATTCCATCAATCTAATATACTTATATGAAAGGCTAATTGTATTATTTAAAAATTACGTAGTGAGTTGATTATAGGTAGCACTCGATTATAGTAAATATAAAATTGAATGTTGAACCATTAAAATATGAGAATTAAATACAAATCTAAAACTTCAATGATTTATTTATTTTTTAATATGATAATTAAATAGAAGCAATTTTGAAAACGGAATGAAAACTTATAGTCAATGTGAATATTGCTCAAAGGTTAAGATATCACGTTTTTTTTCTAAATGTTGGAGGTTTAATCTCTCATCGTCATATTTGTTGTACGAAAAAACCAAACTTATAATTTGACGTTTAAATTTCTTGAAAGGTGGGTAGCCTCTTATAAGTTCAATAGTTTTTCATAAAATCGTGTTTCAGTCTATGACAATTTTTATTTTACCCATTCTATTTTAGTTCTTGAATTTTACTTGTAAGACCAATTCAGTCTTTGCCGTCAATGGTTTTATTTTGTATACCATATGCATATACATCTTTTGTTCATTTATTCGATGAGCAAATATTATATAGACAAAAACTAAAACTAAATCGATACAATAAGTGTCAGTTTTCAAAGTAGTTGATTTTTTTAATTGTTAATAAAAAAAAGAATTGCAAGAGCTAATTATAATGGTTTTTCATAAAAGATTATAATAAAATATCTGAAAGTTGAGAGATTAAAATATAACATTTGAAAATTTAGAGAACAAAATAAAATACAGTATCAATTACGTTCCTTGTGATTAAAGGCACGTCCTACATTTGGTATACTCTATGAAATGGATTATATAATTATTATTTTCTACAATTTTTAAAATAACATAGGTAGAAAAATGTTTAATATCCCTTGAATGACTGATATAGTAACCAGTAAAAATGATAATTTTCATTCTTTTTTCTCTCTTAACGATACATTTCAGAATAATTATTTCCCATTAAATATTAATTAAATAAAAATCAAAAGTATGAAATAGAGAAATGAGGGGATGATCCGACGAAAATGCCCTCCTCGTCAACCCTAATTACAAAATGATTACAAAGGACAAGGAGGTCCTTTCCATTGGTCTACGGTGTTTGAAAAGTAGGCTCTCAATCTGACAATCGTCGTTGGCTCGTTGCTCGCTCATCGCTTTTTGTTTTAATTATTTTTTGAGAAATTGTACCAAATTTCATAAGATAAATGTATTTAATAAAAATATTACTACTTTTTATTTTTTTTAAAATATGCTTTTTTATTTTTTATAATTTTAAACCTAATGCTATAAATATAAATACATAAATTTTTTGTGCTATTTTTGTAATTCTCGTCTTTTATCAGGATCTTTAAATTAATTTTGAAATTCTATTGAAATAAACCTTAAATTTAAATGAGGGGTAGAATAAATATTCTCTATTAATCGTTTTATTTTTTATTTTCTATTTTTAAAAGCTAAACTTAGAAATCTTACTTTCATTACGTTCTTTTGTGTTATGGATGCTATCTAAATAACAGTGGCCATAGGGTCAAATAGGTCGGAATAAAGAGTTATAGGTCAAGTCAAACAACATACATCTTGGTTAGTTATATAGTTTTTATAAATATTTTTAAAAATAATTATTTAAATTTATTTTAGTTTTTGAAATTTGACTAAAAATTTATGTTTTAAATGGAGTGAAAAACTTACCAATAAAATTGTACAAAAACATGCATAATTTTAAAAATAAAAAAAAGACGAAATAGTTATCAAATGACACTGCCAACTTTTATTTTTGTAACATTGACGAACTAGAAAATATTAGTTTTTGTGATGTTTTTTTAAACTAGGTTTAGACCTTTTTAGGGTTGATTTAGGAAAATTTTATAGTTAGTTTTTGGGTATCCTTATGACTTGATTTTAAGAGTATTTGTTGTTTGAAATCGAATTTTTTGCGACTTTGTCATTTTGTTTGTGGGTCATTTTTCCAATTTGGTTTTAAAATATAGTAACTTTTCTATATATTAAAGTTTAGGGCTAATTACATAAAATCTAAGACCAATGGTTAATTATTATTGTACTAAAAATGATGTTAGATACAACTTTATGTTTTAGAACTTGGATGATTTTAACACCATTGATATATATATATATATATATATATATATATATATATATATATATATATATATATATATATATATATGACAATGATTTTTTTTTGGGGGGTTTATAGTGTAGTAAGGTAAAATTTAAGATGAGTTTATCATATTTTATAGGGCATGTGTCAGTTTTTTTTAGTTCAACTATTGTGAGGGTGGAGAATCGAGCAATCAACCTCTAAGATGGTAATATATATCTTATCTACTGAGTTATACGCAAATTGTCTAGACTGAGTATGTAGATGTCCTTTTATAGAAGAATAAAGGTAGGATGATGAGTATACCATAAGATCAACACGATTATTTTTATCTTTTTTTGGACATAGAATAAGTATACTAGGCTCGAAAAGCATGTAATGCTCTTTTCCTAGAAGAGTAAGGTAAGGATGATCGAGCAAATTAAACTGGGTCGAATAGGATAGGTTTCTCTTTTTAGCTTGTAGAATAAAGAGTATATAGTAAGAAGCTCTCATTTAAAGATGTGGTGCTCCTTTTGTACTTAAAAGTGAGAAGCTAGCAATTTCTTCGCCTGCTGATCTCTACCCTTGACCAAGATGAGAGATCAGCCATAAAACATCTCTTGTCCTTGGCAAATCAAGAGATGACTTGTTCCTTGGCACCATATCATTTATTTGTAGGTAGGACCATATAGTTAACTGTCAAATGATTACTCTTTCTTTCTATAACAACTTTGAGATCGCTATATATTTGAAGTATATAAGGCCTAGTCTTATTAACGAAAGATTCATGTTTGGTTCGGGAAGGGATGTCGAAGTTTTGAAATGAATGGAAAGACAATCTGCTTTCATTAAGTGATTTATTAGATAATCGAAAATAGAGGATCTTGAAAACCATTCAAAATTCAGAAAAACTTTGCGAGGGGGCAATTGAACAGTTGGAAAAAGCCTGATCTCGCTTAAGGAAAGTCGAAATATGGAAGTGGATCAGTTTTGAGTGAATGAAAGTCGAAATGGAAGTCTGATCTTGTTTCTTGTTTTCGTTTTTCGTTTTTAGTTTTGTTTCGAAATATAAATAAAAATATTGTTTTGACATTTTTTATTCTGTGGGTGTTGAGGTCAATGCGATTTTATTTTTCTTTATTAAAAAGTAAGAAACATAAACAAGAAAACAGAAACATTACCGGACTCATAATAACTGTCTTGTTGATCATTCCACCGGCCAGCACTAGTCCTTGTATGACCTAAGGATAAAATTTGTTTTCTTATTCATATTTAATGGAGCATACTAGCTTAGGTAAACTATTGAAATCTAGAGAATTTAGTACCAACAAGAATGGTTCGGGAGTTTAATTTCTTTGGTCATGAATATATCTTTCATAGTAAATATTTCAAAATGTTAATATATTGATGAAAGTTTTCCTTCGTATATTTTGTTGATGAAGTACATAAGAATATTATAAGAAATAAAGAAAATTCCACTTCAGATGTGAGACTTCTGTAAAGTTCATGTACAATTTTACTCTGACAAAAGTGGAGATAGGAAAATTTTGAAATTTTAGATATAAAAAATAAAAAAATCCTATCAAGAATAGTGATGAAAGAGAAATTGAGGAAAATATAACAATAATATTGAGAAATGAATTATTTTAGTTAAAACTCAAATTCAGTTTGCAACACAGGACTAATTTAAACCTAACTCAATTGATTAAAATATTATTAACCCCTATCAAATTTTCGTGGCGTTATAAAGTTAAACCTAAAGTAAAAACAACAATGTCTGTTTTATATTTGATTGTTTTAATCATAATTAATTATAGTTAATTTAGTTTTATTAATGGTAAAAAAAAGTTGGCATTGACAATATCTTATAAATATACAAAACAACCAAATAATTGGCAAAGTGGGGAGTGATGTTTGGAATATTGAAAAGTTGAGGCGATTTTTCATATGGGCAAGGAGTCAAATATTTACATGGGAAGAAAAAAAAAGTTAGGATAAATAATAATATATGCCAAAAACAGAATGTTTTCAAGTTCATGGCATCAAGAATCTCCAAAAGTAGGAACCAAATCTTTGGAGAAATATAGCTCCCATTTTGTAAGGAGCCCATAGTATTGAAGCAATAGACACTTATATGAACTTTCACGTATTTGGTGCATAAATTGGAAAATATTAGAAGTCTCGATTACATCTCGTTTGCAATACAAAGAGTAGTTTGAAAGTGTCAAGATATTGATATGGTGTCAGCTTAAGAAGTTTTAGCGGTTGAATTAGTGATTTGAGAGAGTACGACAAAACAGTAGTACTGATTTTTGTTTCTCAAGGTGCCATCATGAAAATATATGATTCGTTGGGAATTAAGTATTTATAAAATAAAGTTTTTTAATAAAATTATTATTACAATTTAAATATATAGAATGAGAATATACCCTAATTAATTGGAAGTTACTAAGTTGAATATCACCCTAAGGGAAAAAACGTAGAAAATATTGTAGAATTGTTGGATAGAGATTCATGTTTAGTAGCATTTTTTGCCTTAATTTTTCATTTATTTCCCTTGGTTTGAAATTTTTTCTTTTGTTTTGTTTAATACGTTTTATTACCATCATCTTACTTCGCTATTTGCTTTTCCAAGAGTGCATTTGAGGTAAATGAAGATAACAAACCAGATCTTTTGGA